AAATTTGACCTGCTTTGAACACTCTTGTTTTTCCACAGTCATATTTTCTCATCAGAATTAAGCAACCATTGGGTGCCTTTGAGTTGTACAAATTATGGCTGATTAAAAACGCCTCTCCGCCAGGTGTCTTAGGTCCTGGAATACTGCTCTGAAGATGCCTGTTTAGTGTAGTTTTAATTGTCTGGCTGGAAAGACAACCTTGAATTCACTCATTCCCCAGCTAATAATAATGTGGCCTTAACGTTAGTCCTCCCATGGAGGTCACGAGATGTGACCTGGCCCTCAGTAGGCTGTCACCTGGGGCTAGCTTGTTCCTTGTTGGAGGAGGCAACAGGATCTGTTCAAGCCCAGCCACCAACTCTTCCCTGCATCCCCGCCTCTCTTACCCCAGCCTTGGCCTGAGACTGTAGATCTGAAGGCCAGTTCCATCTTTGTAGATCTTACCCCCTAGTCCTAGTCTGTCTCCCTGCTCCCCCTGTCCCTTCAGAGTGAAAGGAGCCAGTGGCTTACCCTGACTTGCCTTGGAGGGGAGGGAGACCCAAGAAACCGGGACTCTGATGCACACTGGGCTCTGTCTCTGGTGAGGAGAGGCTGTGCTGAGAATAACCTCCTTGCTTTGTCCTTTGACTTTGGTGAGGCCCACAGGCCAAGCATGTGCTGTTGCACTATTTTTAGAGGTGGCATCCTTTACAAGGGCCAAGTACGTGTGGTTTGAGTGTACAGGGTAAGTCCTGGTGCTGAAGCTGCTACCGCCTCCTAATCAGGGGAGGAAGGAGAATGAAGCCACCCTAGAAATAGTCATGGGGTATGTGGTGGGGAGTTGGCTGCATAACAGGTCTCTAGGGCTGCCTTTTTATTCTGGATATGTGGCTGGGGCCCAGCCCTACCTCCTGGGCCAGGCAGGCATGTGACCCAGGCATCCCAGTGAGCTGGGGAACCCCCTTGTTCAGGGCTACTGTTCTGGGAAATGAACACCCTTTGTTGCCCCAGCAGCCAAATTCTTAGGAAACCACATAACTCCATTTTCATGGGAAGTCACCCAACCTAAGGACAGGCCACTGACTAGGCACTAAAACTTCTGTAATACAAATCATAGTAATACAAATCATAGGTCTGTAGGCAGCCTGATTACTGATATACTTGGGTTGACATGTAAATAAATACATGAGATGAGGCAAAGCCATGCACACACATGCCCCCATAGGGGTTCCTTTAGGGAACCACAGAGGCTAAAGAGAGAAGAAAAATGAGTTTAACAAAAGTTCTGTTCCCCATTGCTCTTCTCTGTTACTGCTCTCCCCCACCCCCCACTCCTTCGTCCCTCTGACTTGGAGCTGCCAACTCCAACCCATCTATCTGTTTTTGATTAAGCATGCTTCGCGCCATATAAGGCCCTCTTTTGCCTATGGTTTATGTTGGCTGGAGAGTGAGGTTGTTTTCGCAAAGTCTGATTCAAAGAAGTGGCAAGGGCTTATGTGGGGCAGAGCGTGTGTGTGTATGTGTGTGTGTGTTCCTAGTCCTCTCCAGACAGGATTGTTTTATTGGAACAGATTCCTTTGAAGGGGTGAGCAGCTGAGAGTAAAAATCTGGGATTCTCTAGGGCCTACTATGTGGTGTGATCTAGGGCTTCCTGTCAAACTCATTTGCTGAGACCTGGGGGCAAAAAAAAAGGGGAGGGGAAGCTCCTGTTTATACATCTACAGTATGTACCTGTCATGCTACCAGCCTCAGAGGCATCCTATTTCTGGAATCAGCTTCTGTGTGCTCAAAAACTATGTATTAAAAAGATATACAAAAATTAAAAAAAGAAACTCTGTACCTTCTTGGCTCTTTAGTGTCCCTCTCTGGAGGAAGGACTCCTTCATATCCTTGACCTTCAGCAGAGTTGCCCAGTGATGCTGGGGAGTGATTTCTCTGGCAGCAGCCCTCTGACCTCATCTTCGCCTCCCCTTCCTCCTGTCTCTTAAGTCAGCCAAGTTTGTTCCTGCCTTAGGATTTTGGCACATGTGTTCCCTGCCTGGAACTCCCCCCCCCCCTTCCTTTTCCTATCTCCTGGTTCTTGGCACATTGCTCCTCACTGTTCTGCCCCTTTTGCCACCTCTTCAGAGAGGCATTCCTGGACCATTTTGTCTAAAGCTCCCTCTTTTCCCCCAGCATATTTTGTCCAACCTTTCTCAACCTGGGTTCCTTATCTAAACCACAAAACACAAAAGTTGATTGACTTTCTCAGCTCTCCCAACTAATACCACTCTACATGGTATTAGCAGAACGGTAAATCCTCATTTAACATTATAGATAGGTTCAGATAGGTTCTTGGAATCTGATTTTTAGCAAAACAACACATAATAAAATATTTTGTCACAGGCTAGAGAGTTAAGTTCCTATTGCATATTTCTGATCATAAACATCACCAAACTTTTAAATAAAGACCCAAACACTTCTAATATTAAACAATCTCTTGTACCCATTTCATTCACTATCCAGCTCACTTATTCCTGTTCAGGGGGCGTGTGCCACAGCCTATCCCAGCATCCCAGGGCACAAGGCCAACCCTGGACAGGATGTCCTTCAATTGCAGGGCATATCTCAGACACGCACACGCACACACACTCACACTTTTCTCTCCCTCCCTCTACCTCCCCCCCCCCCCCAAGACTGGGACAGTTCAGACACACTAGTGACCTAACTTGCACATCTTTGAGATGTGGGAGAAAACCAGAGTACCCAGAGGAAGGAAACCAACACAGATATAAAACAAATGACTTTATTGGAGGATCTTTTGTATAGATAATTCAGTACATACAAGGGCTTATGCCTGGGGCTCAGTTCTCTTAACTGGTTGCTGAATCTTTGCCTGATCTTATCTGAAATGTGACTCCATCTCTCTCCTTCAACCTTTGCTTCCTTCCTGAAGGCTCTTTTCTCCTGCCTTTCCACTGAAACCTGCTTCACAGAGTTTATTAAAATTTGTTTTTTAAAAAAGATTTGTTTATTTATGCATAGAAGAACTGGGGTGTAGGCCAGAGGTGTGGGGAGTGAGAAGATTCACGAAACAGAGTGGGGAGCAGAACAGGCAGATTTACTGAACTACACTGCTGAGGGGAGCAGTGGGTGAGACTGGAGAGGTCTGCTGCACCATATGTGGGTTAGCTCCCTGGCTGTGGATTGAACTCTGACTGCAGTGGTGATAGTGTTAGGGGGAAAAGGATGTCCAAATGGTGGTGATGGGATTTGGAGTTCCCAGTGTCTTTGGCTTTGGCCTGGGGTGGGGGTGGAGTCCACAAAGCCTGTATGGAATTAGCCTTAGGACATCCTTTTCCCCCCTAACAATAGCACTAAAGCTTAACCCCTAGGCCACCAGGGATCATTACTCCTGAGATATCTTGCTGCCTGATGCTGGCTAACCCTCAGTGCGGTGAGGAGATCACCTGCTTTAAATGGTCTACCGATAAGTTATCTATAAATTCTTTTTAATATTACTTTTATAATAATAATAATATTAAAGCAGGGAAGGTGGGGATCTTGAGGCAAAATTGGCATCCATTATTGTGGGAAAATAAAGGGTTAGTTGTGAGTAAATGAGTTGATGTAAATGCATATTTATGATATTATAACCAGAAACATGAAGCCGTATGGTAATAGAACATTGCTCTGTGTGTGTGTGTGTGTGTGTGTGTGTGTCTTAAGAATGTGTTAATTTTCTATCAAAGCATTGTTTCAAGTAAGATTTGACTCTTGGGCCTCCCTGGTGGCACAGCGGTTGAGCGCTGGGTTGTGAAGCTGCCCGCAGCCTCTGCAGCGCTGGTTTGATCCCCGGCTGCTCCCCGGCCACCAGAGGAGGGTCCCACATGGCGCGCAGACCTCTCCTGCTGCCCACTGCTCCTCTCAGCAGTGTACTTCGGTCCTTCTGCCTGCTTTGCTCCCCGCTCTGGCTCTGGTGAATTCTCTCACCCTCCCGCGCTTCTGACTGTACCCAGTGCTTGTATAAATAAATAAATAAATCTTAAAAAAAATAAAAATAAAAATAAAAGATTTGACTCTTGGCTATGCACAAGGTTGGAAAGGATAGCCATTTGCTCTGAGTTCTCCCCTTCCTGTCCTCTTCTCTTCCAGAAGCAGCTTCTTGCACTTCTTACCACTATTTCTAAGTAGCTATTGCTCCTTTCTTTCCTTTATTCTTTCTTTCCTTTTGAAAATAATTATCTGATTTGTTTTTCTACTCTGGAGGTAATTGGTTGCTATTTTTTTTTCTTCCTTCATCCTCTTAGTATAGAAGAAGCATAGTTTTTGGTCAAGTTACTATTCAGATTATATGTTATTATGACTGCTTATGACTGCAAAGTTCTTCATTTTCGACATTTCCGTTATTGTCTTTCACCCTGCCCCTCCTCTGCTACTAATTAATTTCCTTCATTTCTTTAGCTTGGTTTTCTGTGCATCTCTCACCTGTTCTCCAACTCCCCTGAACCTCAGCCACTGCTGTCACACTCCTTTCATGAGTGGGAAGTGCCTCTTGTGCTTAGATGTACCTGGTACTCTGTGATTCCATGTTGCTCTTGGGAAGCACACAATCCCTCTGGCTTTGCTTCTCCTTCCTCTGGGCAATTCTTTTTCTCCTCTCTTGAAAATTTTCCCATCCTTTCTTGGTTTTACTCCCTTGTCTTGGTGAGACTGTCTTCCAGAATCTTGATGATAGTATGTACAAGGGTGAGCAGCCAGCAAAAAGCAAACTGATGTAGGCTCAAGACTCAAGCTCTTTAAAGGTGTGTGTGGATGGGGGGAAGGGTGGGCATGAGGGGAAAGGGTGTGTGTGGCTAAAGACAGGAGAATTGGTGGAAGTTGGCAAAGACAACTAGGCCCTTTCTACCACACCAGCAGAAGATCTGGCTATATTCTTTATGGAATAATTTATTTTTTATTTTTTTAAAAGATTTATTTATTGTTGCATACAAGAGCTGGGGTGTAGACCAGAGGTGCAAGGGTGAAAAGATTCACCGGAGAGAGTGGGGAGCAGAATAGGCAGATCTACTGAAACACTGCTGAGGGGAGCAGCGGGCGAGACAGGAGAGGTTTGCTGTGCCATGTAGGTTACTCGCTGGCCTGACGGTGATCGAATTCGTGCTGCAGTGGCTGGTGATAGCTTGATTGCACTGTGTCTTTAACCCCTGTGCCACCAGCGAGGCCCCTGGAATAGTTTAAATAAGAGGAGATCTGGATTTTGGTTCCAGATGGTGGTGAAAACAGATATTGAATGAAAGTCTCATGTTAACCCAACCTTCTTGACTCTCCTAACAATGGCTTTCAGACTAACATCCTCGCATCTCTCACCTCAGGACATTGAAATAATCTAATCTGAGGAAACTGGCAATCCATTTCCTGTTGGCTCCCTACCCCGGCCAGGACACTTGCCTGACTCTGGACTTAATTCATCAGGTGGTCAGTGGCAGACGGTGGCAGTAACAAGGCCCCCTGGGAGAAGAGGTCATTGGGAATTTTTGCTCCAAAACATTTGAAAGTGCCTCCAGAGTAGTGCCTTCCATTGATTTCCATGTCCTGTACCCACTGTGCTTTGTACCCTGTAGATGCAATAAATATTTGTGGGGTAGAAATCACCTTAAGCCTTTATCTAATTTACCAGTTGTATTTCACTGTTTGCCATTTGGAAAATCTGTGTCTTATACCTCATAACTTTTCTCCCCATAGTGGTGATGTAAAGGGTCTTTTGCCTCATTCCATCTTCTTTTATGATTCCTTTAAAAGGCATGTGTCGGGCCTCCCCAGTGGCGCAGCGGTTGAGCGCTGGGTTGCGAAGCTGCCTGCAGCCTCTGCAGCCGGTTCGATCCCTGGCTGCTCCCCGGCCACCGGAGGAGGGTCCCACATGGCGCGCAGACCTCTCCTGCCGCCCGCTGCTCCCCTTAGCAGTGTACTTCGGTCCTTCTGCCTGCTCTGCTCCCCACTCTGGCTCTGGTGAATTCTCTCACCCTCCCGCGCTTCTGACTGTACCCAGTGCTTGTATAAACAAACAAACAAACAAATAAAAAAAAAATAAATAAGACATGCCTCTAGAAAATTAAAAAAATAAATAAATAAAAGGCATGTGTCATCTATATTAGCTTTCAAGTAAGCCTGTTGATGGATCACAATTTCATACCTTTTGGGTAGTCTTGTGCAGTCTTCCATGGTCATGGGAGAGAATTCTGTCCCAGGAATACTGTCCTGGTGCCTGCTTTGTCACCAGCCTCAGAAACCTGTCAGAATCCATTTGTAAAGCAAAATGGTTGCCAAGAACCAGAGCTGGGGGGGAGGGGCTATGTGGGGATGTATGTGACATAATCATTAATGTTTTAAAATCACAACCGAGACCTTCCTGGTGGCCTAGGGGTTAAGTCTCAGTACTATCACCACTTGGCCTGGGTTCGATCCTATCCAGGGAGCTAACACACAAGGCACAGCAGACCCCTTCTGTCTCACCCGCTGCTCCTCTTAGCAGTGTATTTAAGTAAATCTGCCTGTTCTGCCACCCCGCCCCCCCCATTCTGTCTCTGGTGAATCTTCTCACCTCCTGCACCTCTGGTCTACACCCCAGTTCTCCTACACAAGAAAAAATAAATCACAACCATACTCCTCAAATAAAGCCGTTATCATCTGAAGCCTAATGAAGCTGTACCTGCCATGGATTTGGTAAGCAGAGAAGGGAGACTGGCTAGTTCACCCTCTGTCATTCCTTTTTTACCAAGTTTTTCCACTGGGTATTAATTTAATTTTTAATTAAACCGGTGGAGGACAAGCTCTTAATTTGAAACCATGTCCAGAGATGGATATTTTCACTTCTGACTCTTTTACCTGGAATGCCTGGTGCTTGACTGTGGGTTTCCATTTTGGCAGGGGATGGCTTCCCTGAACAGGTGTTCCCTTCCCCCTTTCTCCACTCCACCCCCCATATTAGTGTGTTAAACCTTCCAGCCTCCTTCTTGAGAGCAGGCCCAGAAAGTATCCTGTGACTTTTGTTGAACAGAGTTCTGTGACTTATGTTTTACCCAGAATGACAGAGCACCCCCAGAGTAGGGTTGGTCTGGCCACACTAGCTCATCTGGCTGCTCTCTGGGGCCATCATAATGGAGGGTGGGGGGACAATCCCGGGCAGCACCTCATAATCCCACTGTGAGCTAACTTGGAATCTTTAAGGTACCAACGTGAGTCACAGCTCACTCAGGGCCCCTAAGGATGAAGGTAACAACCCTGTGAATACCAGGGCTGGGCTGCGACCACCGCGCCTGAGGCATGGCTCCAGCACTCTGATCCTCACGCCCCAGCCATGCCGCTGAGGGCGAGTGGCCCTTCTTACCACCATCTCATTCCCTGCTCTTAGTGGCAGGACCAAACACTGCCCAACAAGGTAGGCATTGGTTATTGGAGCTTTTCTCGTTCCCTGGGGTCTTCTGGGAACATCCTCTAGAAGTGCACTGTCCACTAGGTAGCCTCCAGTTGTATGTGACTATTTACATTTAAATTATTACTGATTTTTTTAAATTCAGTTCCTTAACCACATTAATCACATTTCAAGTGCTCAGTATCCTCCTGTGACTGAGTGGCTGCCAATATTGGACTGCAGTTGCCACTTGGGGCTCACCCAGGCCTTTGCCTCTTGTGACCTGCTCTACTTTGGCCTCATTGCAACTGCCATTACTCTTTATAGTTCCTGTTGCCATGGCCCTAAAGGTCAAACTTTTGTCCGACCCCTACCAGTTCTCCAGTTTTGACTCCCAGAACTTGTGCTGATATACCGTGGGACTTGCTTTTCCCTCCCATCCCAGAGGCATCTTGCATTTAGAACCTTAATATATGTCATTAAGCCACCATGGCACCTTAAATTCTGGTCATCGAGACAGCCTTCCTGGCCTCTGTTTGTATAGGTGTATGTGTGTGAGAGACACACAGATCCTTCCATCTGGATTGTGAGCTTTTAGTGGACAGTATATTTTTCTTGCAGTTTAAGCACATCTAACTATGTGTGAAACCTTAACCTGGTGAGGAGTTAGGTAAATGAATTTGATACTAACCAAGCGGCGTTTTGGGGATCTTGCAAAGACCACTGTGTGTGTGGTCTTCCTTCAGCCAACTGCTGGGGGTAGAGGGCCTCGTACTGGCCCCACAGCCTGCTGTTCTCTAAATGCAAGTGCTGGGCTTTAGGTTCTGGATCATGTAGCTATTCCCTCTCCCCCTTCAGGAAGACCCCTTTCAAGGAAGGGGAAAGCCCCTCAGCGAGAACTTAATGTATAAACAGTCTAGTTATAGAGTGTTTTGAAAACCCTTCCTGTTGGTGATGGGACCCAGCAATGATCTTTGACTATGCCAAAATGTAACCCAAATATAATAGAAGAAATGTTCAAATCTTTATCATAGTGTGTGTAAAACAGAGTGCATGTGGCCTCACTAGCCAGACCCAAACCCAGACTGGACTTGTTACGCTCTTGGCTCTTAAAGCAATTTGATCGACTTTACATTGATTAATTACATGCAGCTCTTTTCCTACAAAAACATGCAGCCAAATTGGCTTAGTCACTGGGGCCAACACTCTACTATTCCCAGAAATTTATTTTCTTGTTTAGCAGAATGCTCTAGACTGCAGTGATTGGGTGGGGAGTGAGGTCATTACTTCTTCGGAAGTAAGCGGTTTTGAGAAGCTGCCTTTCTTTGGGAGAAGGAAGGAATCTTTTTAGAACCTGGAGTGAGCAGGTGAAGCTGAGGCCTGGTCAGGCTGTGGCGCGTGCCTGCCACAGCTCTGTGACCACTTGGCCACCAGCCAATATGCATCTATTCCCAGGCAAGTGAACTTGCTAAAAATAAGCAGGCAGCTATTTAATTCCAACAGATTCAAAATAGCTAAGTCTCTCCCCACCAAGCCTAAGGCAGGGCCCTGGATTCTTTTGTGAAACTTTTTCCTGACTGGAAGGCACTCCTGCCTGAATGTCTGGGGCCTGAGGCGAGGAGGCAGCCTTCAGTTAGAGTTGTGAGTCTGGGGCTTTTAGACCCACAGTGTCAAATGCCACTTTTTTTTTTTTTTTAATTTTTTTTTTTTATAGAGGCATGCTTTATTTATTTGTTTGCTGGTTTGTTTGTTTGTTTTGTTTATACATGCACTGGGTACAGTCAGAAGCGCGGGAGGGTGAGAGAATTCACCAGAGCCAGAGCGGGGAGCAGAGCAGGCAGAAGGACCGAAGTACACTGCTGAGGGGAGCAGTGGGCGGCAGGAGAGGTCTGCACGCCATGTGGGACCCTCCTCCGGTGGCCGGGGAACAGCCGGGGATCGAACCGGCGCCGCAGAGGCCGCGGGCAGCTTCGCAACCCAGCGCTCAACCGCTGCGCCACCGGGGAGGCCCATCAAATGCCACTTTCATCATGAGAGGTTTAGGTTAAAAAACAACAATCTCAATATGTCCCTCTTTCTCTCTCTTTCTTTCTCTCTCTCTCTCTGCAAAGAGAACAAGTCAAAAGGGTTATGCCTAGAGAAGGGAGGCCCCAGAGGGCCTTGCAATGCTGGAGTGTTGTGTGCAAGCATGGAGGGACCCTGAGAATTCAGGAAAGGTCGGTGCATTCTACACCACCTGTCTAAGCCTATCAGTTCATGTCAGTTGGGGAAAATTGGCACCATACCGATTTCCAAGTCTATTTGAGGTAGGTTGACCCTGGTATGGCTCTTGGAAGTGAAGTGCCAAGCAAGTAAGGGAATTTTCTTGACTGGTGGGAAGTAGGGGCTCCAGTCACCTGGAGCTCGCCATGAGGTGCCCTTGGGCAGCTGGCAGCCTTGATGAAACCACCTGGGCTCTGTTAACACACCATCTTTGGGGTGGCTGCTGGCTGACCCCAGGGGCTCTTCGCTCCATTATTGGTAGAGATGGTTCCTCTCTCTAGTCACAATCTTCTGGTAGCAAGGGGAAAAATAAACAATGTCTTCCCCTCCTGTCTGGGGATTTCATCTTTTCACAAGCACCTGGAACACTTCATTCTGGTATTTCCCGTCCCTAGAGGTAGTCCAGGAGGGAAAGCCTTTTCTTGGAGGAGCAGTTGGTGCTTGGATCCTGAGCTCCTGGTTCCTATGCATAGGGTCTTTGGGCTCTAGTCTAAGCAGGGAGCGATGGGCACTGAGTATCCTGGTGGGACATTCAGGATGCCATGAATTGGGTGACAGCTGCAGGGTACCAGTATAAAGCACCTTTTTTGGGTAAGGATCCTCCTGGTATAATGAGGAATCAGTCTGAATTTACCGAGAGGAAGAAAAATATGTTCAGACCCCAGCCCCACTTTCTGTTGCATGTACTCTGTTGGGTGTGACTTGATCTCCTGACAAAGGTTGGGGATATACTCCTTATTCTGAGAGTACCTTTCCCCCACAGCCTCTTTTCTTTCTCAAATATTAATTTTTATGTGAAAAACATTGAACACAAGGCAAATCTGTAAGCTACCATCTTTGGGTGTGTATAGATTGTTACAGAACAGTGATTTTTAAACCTGACTACACATTGGAATCACCGGGGTTTAAAACACAGACACACACCACCCTGGTATCCAGGTCTCACCCTGGACGAATCTGATTTAATTGATCTGGGTGTTGCCTTGGCCTTGGGACTTTTAAATCTTCCCAGGTGATGCTAATGAGCAGCTAAGTTGGAGAACCACAGTTATCGAAATTAAAAGTTTTTCTTTGAAAGGAAGCAAGACTATCTCTGTTCACAGGTAAGAAATCCCACAGAATTCACTAAGAAACTATTAGAACTGACACACGAGCTTGCAGGATGCAAGATCCAGTACAGAAATGTCTCCTCTCCCATAATCAGAAGACTTCATGTATATCCTTTCCAGTTTTTCCATGGGGTTATGTGGACACAGACATCACACAAATGGTGGTGTAAAGCTTTTGTTTTTTTGTACCACAATAGTTTTTCCACATCAGTACATGAAGTCAGCTTCCCTAATACTTCCATGTCTATGAATTCTACAGTATGCTTAGTAGTGATCCCTCAGAATTTTATTTCAAATGATTTCCCAGAGGCCATTCTTACAGGAGCCTCCTGCTTATGGGGAGTTGTGTTTGTTGAAGAAAAGATTCCCAGTATAGCATTTCTGGATCAGAGGATGGGTATGGTCTTAAAGTTTTAAGAACAACTTGATCTCCCTTAACTTGGGCCATAGAATCTCTCTTCCCTCACAGACCCACTAATTAATGGGTTCTGTATTTAATGTGGCATATAATTTGATTACCAATCCCCTGGATTTTTTCAACCTTGAGTTATTTTGACCTTTAAGAGGGAAATACATTCCATACCATGTGATTGAGGATTAGGTGATGTTGGGGAAAGCATCTGGTCAGGTTCTGTGTTTGAATCTGAAGTTATAATGTACACCATTGATGCTTTCTACGTGGAAGGATTGATGCAAAGTCTTTTGAAACCTAGCCACTGATTAGGTCAGCTTTGTGCCTTTTGATCCATTGCTTCCTCTTCAAATATTAGTGAGAAGGTTTATCTTTAAGATAGAGGGTCTTTTCTGGAGATGACCTCCTCCCTACCGCTCCCCTTATTCTCATCACTTTGGGGGCAAAACTCTTTGTAGCACACCTTCATAGACCAGTGTGCTCATCAGTCCTCCTTTATCTTACTCAGTAAGTCTGAGGTAGTGTTAGGGGAAAAAGGATGTCCTAAAGCTAATTCCATACAGGCCTTGTGGACTCCACCCCCACCCCAGGCCAAAGCCATCCAGACACTGGGAACTACAAATCCCATCACCACCAAAGGGAAGGTTGCTGGAACCTGAAGGTGGAGTTAAGCAGCCAGGTTTGGTATAAAACCAGACACGTGGGCTTTGGGGTTTTTTCCCTTTTTTTTTGGCTCGCCGCCAGCTTGCAGCTCAGGCAGCTCTCGGAGTGCCTTTGGGGTTTCCAGGTCGGTGGATCGCGTAGGATGCATTAAAGACTTTATATCCTATTTTCTTCCTGAGTTGTGCATTTCCTCATTTCCCTTTCCCTTGTAAATAAACCTTTTATTAACCTTTTGTGTGTGCCTGTAGTGGAGTATTAATAAGTCCCTTGTAAGCGCGC